AGGTCAAAGGAGAGAACATGACCAAGTTACCTTTAGGAAAACTTCTCCAGTCTTCTGAAATCTGCTGCATGAATATAAACCAGCGCCATCCCGATTCAAAGGAAGGACAAATATTTACAAAAGCAGAGACAGAATCATAGAAAATTAGGGTTGGAGGAGACCTCAGGAGGTCATCTAGTCCAACCCCCATGCTCAAAGCAGGACCAGCCCCAACTAGATCATGCCAGCCAGGGCATTAAGCCAGGCCTTCAAAACCCCCAAGGATGAAGATTCTACCACGTCTCTAGGTAACCTCTTCCAGTGCTTTATCACCGTCCTAGTGAGAAAGTTTTTCCTAATATCCAACCTAAGCCTTCCTTGCTGCAACGTGAGATCATTGCTCCTTGTTGTGGCATCTACAACCACTGAGAGCAGTCTAGCTCCATCCTCTTTGGACCCACCCTTCAGGTAGTTAAAGGCTTTTATCAAATCACCTCTCAGTCTTTTCTTCTGCAGACTAAGTAAACTCAATTCCCTCAGCCTCTCCTCAGAAGCCATGTGACTGTAGCCCCCTCATCATTTTCACTGCCCTCCACTGGACTCTCTCCCACTTGCCCATATCTCTCCTATAGTTTGGGGTGGGGGGCGGCAAACTGGACACAGTACTCCGGATATGGCCTCATCAGTGCAGAATAGAAGGGAATATTTACTTCCCTCAATCAGCTGGCAATGCTCCTACTAATGCAGCCCAGCATGCCATTAGCCTTCTTGGCAACAAGGGAACACTGCTTTATCAGTCTTATTGTCCACTGTAACCCCGAGGTCCAGATAGCCTGGCTTTCAGTGCAACTTACATATACTATAACAGAAGCACACCCTGCACGAGGGCTATGTTTGGAACTCCACCTCCCCTTGTACCCTTTTCACACGCCAACTGGTTCACTGTAGTAGTGATACCCTTCAGGGCTTTGTCCTCCAGGCCTTGCGGACAACACTCGGTCCTAAGCTGCAACTCCAAGTGAGCTCCTACAAACAGCAGTGCCGACAACTCCCATCTGTGACTCTGATGCTGGCTTTCCATCAAGTAAAGTCTTCAAATCAAATTATGCCCTGGCTCACAGTGTGACCATAAACTAATGGCTAACCCAGTCCTTCTGGTCCTTTAAATAAACTTTAAAAACTTAATCCACCCTCACCTGAGTGTGGATCCCAGTTGCCCAGTTCAGTGTATTCACCCAGCAACATCCCTACTAACAATTAGGGTTCACCCCTCCAAGAAAGTTAAGTCTATTGACCTCACTCGTGTATCCCAGAATGAAGCTAATTCCTTCTTCCTCTACATGTTGTGGGCATTGTGTAGCGAGGGTCGAGTGCTCCTCTCCCCACCCCACCCCAGATCCCAGAGTGCCTCCTAGGCTTCACCTTCTTCACTGCTTACCCAAGTGCCCCGGGCTCCAGTGAGCATCTAGGATGAGGCTCCTTTCCCCCTTCGCAAAGCTGCCATCTGGTGTCACATCCCCAATGCCACGCAGCACGGGGTTGTGGCTCCATGCCTCCTGCAATGACTGCTCCCTTCCCAGTACTGCACTTCATTATACTGGCCTAAGCAAACAAGCAGGAACTGGCGAATCATGGCTGGCGCCACTCTTACCATTTTCCTGCTGCCACTGCAGCTAATGCTGCTCCTACAGGTGGGGGGGGAAGACCGCTAGCTCCTGTTAGGCTTCCACCCAGATTCCCTACGCTGCCCAAAGTCTTTTAGGGACTTTCTTCCCTGGCTCACTTTCAGTTGGAGCTTCCTGCTCCCGCTATAATATATACATACTGTTTATATGTCATATATATATACCAAAATAGCAATTTTATAGATTTCGTGAAATTCAGCATTGCCCATGAAAGTGGGAAATGCCCATGAAATCCACGGGGAGAAACAGAGACTTACTAAAAACAAAATATTGACTTCCCAGAGCACCTCACAACCTCACTGCTGATTGGCTACCTGTCATGGGGTCCCACCCCTGCCCACCAATTATCAGCAAGAGGCAGGGGCATGTGAGAGGCAGCCCTTGCAGCCAATCGGGGGTGAGGGATGGGGCCACTGGGGCCCTTCAGCTAAGG